TGAGGAGCCTGTTCCTGTTGAGGAGCCTGTTCCTGTTGAGGAGCCTGTTCCTGTTGAGGAGCCTCCCCCAGAACCTGATGTTGAGCCTGCACCCACCGTAGTGTCGGATTCGGCTCTCGATGAAGCGGACGGGCATTCCACCATGGAAACGGTGAGTATCTTATCAGACGGGAAAGCGGCCGAGCCTGTGGCCCCCCAAACTAAGGTAGAAGTCAAGAACCTCGGGGGCGGGAAAAAGAAGAAGAACAAGAAGAGGAACAGTGTCAGTCAGAGAAACTGAGACAGTAACAAGGTTGTCTTGCAGGTTGAGCTCGAGGAGATGTCAGGTCCAGTGGGTGATTTTGGCGCAGTTTGAGGTACCGGTCATGATCTTTGGTCTCGACTAGGTACCAGACACATTCGTTCATCGCGGGCGGGTTGCGAAGGACGGCGTTTGGAGTGCAGCATACTTCCTAGGCAGGCGAAAAATGAAAATGAAATTCAGATTCATGGTATCTTGATTGGTCGTACCTCGGGACCTCTCTCTGCACGGTCTCAGTCGCCCGTGATGTGATGGCTTAAGTATATACCTGGTGCCTTCACCGCTCTATGACATAGGCAGTTCATCAGAACTTGCGTCTCGTGTCCTTCCGTGACATTCGGATCACTGGTCCCTGTAACTTTAACGGACAGTCCGGCCATGACTCCAGTGTTCAATCCGACAAATGTCAACTGAAGTTGAGACAGAGTAGAGGACTTAGGGGCTACAGATGAATGCTGAATGCCGGCCACGCTAAACCCAAAGAGGCAACATCGAAACAAACGACACGCATGACTTGAATCCAATTCAGATTGTTGGAAATGGCCTCGGACGCGTTGCCAACTTGAGTGTCAATGCCCTGCGTCAATCTTAAGATCGCCCGCAGTCTGAATGCCTGCTAACAGCCACATCTTCAACACAGCATACGGCATACTTCCAATGCAATACTGATCTAGAACCTCTTCCCCCCTCACGTTCACGTGCGCCACAATGTCCGACGATGCAACCGTCCTCGAAGCGCCCGTGACCCCAGCACCAGTGTTCGCGTACCGTGCATTGAGAAGCATCTTCTTCACTTCGCCCGATTCCTCCCCCGAACATGACAACAAAGAAAACATCGGCCCGCCATACGCCCAGTCACCGATGAAGCCAATACTCGCACTCGATGAACAGCTGCAGCTGCAGCTGACGCCGTCGCACAAGCGCAGATGGGACGGCGCAGGCGCCGCCATCTCACCCACCAAGGGCATTCTGCGCACCCCAGGTCTGGCGACTCCGCGGACCAAGCTCCTCAAAGACCTCAATGTCAAGTTCAAGAGCGTAAGCCCAGAATTGGTGGACACGAAGAAGAAGTCTGCCGGTGTGGGTGCGATCCCGGCCGATGGCTGTGGCCGCGAGGCTAGACACGGTGTGAAGTCGTCAAAATCGATGAACGACATTGCTGTTCCTGTGACCAAAAAGACAACACAGCCGTCTCAACAGACCAAAAATACAACACAGCCGTCTCAACAGAAGCAGCATACAGCGAAGTCGATGCCCACGGTCTCTGCAAGCACGATCACGACCGAAGTCCTATCTCTGCAGGTGATCGAAGCGTATATGCAACAGACGGAGAAGGAGATGAAGAAACTCGTGCGGTATGGTCAGAAGATGCGAGAGTACGCGCGCAAAAAGGACGCTGAGAACCAGGAGCTGAAGAGCATGATCCAGCAGCTCAAGAAAGAAAACGAGAGCTTGAGAAGTAGTGTTGCTACCGATCGCGACCGAGAGGGTGCCTCTTCAGCAGGTGCAGATGCGGGTCGAGGATATGTACGAGAAGAGGTCGACCGGGTTGAAGCGACAGTTAGAAGCCTCCACACTGGGAGATCCACGTCCAAGCCACGACCTCTGTCGGGGGACAGCAAGGCCGGAGGTCGAAAAGCATCTATTGCGGCTATGGACCTTTTTGAGTCTGACATCGACTCTCGTGCTGCTTCGAAGATACATCAATCCTCTACGACCTCAAGGCGGCAATCTGTGGCACATGCGCCCGCCGCAAAACCAAGCTATCGGAGTGTATCCTTGTCGACGCAAACGTCCCGGTACCACACGTCGCGCGATCACAACGGGAGTTTTCCCCGTGTGAGGCCAGATACCTCGTCCGCAGCCACGGGTACAGCTTCCGCGAGTGTCACAGCAATTGGAACTAACGCCGTCGCCGAGGCCGAGAGTGCCCCTGAGACTACTAGTGCAAACGAACACGTCCCTCCAAGCACGGACACCATCACAGGGGCAGGGGCCGGGGCAGGGACAGGAACTGCTCGCCTACCTCCGGACCGTCTACTGGCAGCTCGAGAGCGTCTACGTCGGCGCATGGAAGCGAGGAAAGCCAGTACCGGTAGCGGTGTCGACGATGGCACTGAACGAATCGACGCAGGCGACGGCTTCAGAGAAGAGGATCAGAACCAGAATCAGAATCAGACTCACAAGGCGAACGAGACCGAAATACAGAGTGGCGAGCACAGCCAATTCGATTGGCTGAACATCTAACCGAGCCCTGAACATCAAGACTCATATTCAGCCGGTCATGTTGCGTCTCTCGCCAGGGAGGCCGGAGTCTCGACGGCCGAAGCATGAAAAGTGTCCAGCTCCCCCAAGCCCGCACTTTCGCCTCCGACCCCTACACAATGCTTACGACTCCTGCTTTCCAATATATAGCCGGAACATGGTCTTTGAGAAGGAATAGGGTTCCATTGCGCCTTGGACGGCCCGTGTGCGGAGACCGTGTCTTCCATTCCGAACCTCGACATACTGCGCGGCGGTGACTAGAGTGTACCAATCCAGCACGTCAATCCGCTGAGCGATACACCACAACTACAGGCATGTCGAATCCATTCTTGGAAAAATAAACTCCTTGTGGCGACCGGGACGCAAGAAGCCGGTATAAGGAACTACCCTTTGGCGACCATCCCGGGACGCCAGAAGCCGGCATAAACGTGCCACAGCAGCAGACCGAATTGGGTAGTTAGGTTTGGTATGGCTCCATTCATTGCTCCTGTAGGTCAAAGAAGAGGACGAGACGAGACGGCTATTTTACACCTTTTTGAGCACGGGTGCCTTGGGTCGGTTTCGATCCTTTTTCTTGCTTGCGGTATCTGTCCTGCATAGCTCGCCCGCAAGGACACGATCAGGTGACCTATAGGATATCAAGTTATCCACGACCAACATTGATAGTCATGTACTGGGATGTCGACGTATATTGCTTCTGTGTTGCTAGGATGTCGACGTATATTGCTTCTGTGTTACTAGTATGTCGACGTATATTGCTTCTGTGTTCGCAATAATGCATGATGCATGATGCGCTTCTCTATCTCTGTTGGCCCATTCTCTCTATGCTCGCCGTCCTCTCCGTTCTCGCCAATATAGAGTACACCGTCTGTAGCTGGTACATTTGTGTCCCGTCGCGTCGTAGAATGTGACTCTCCTGAGTAGGAGCAACGTTCATGCGCTAGCGAGTCTAGGCCGTATGATCAGATCAGCCCAAGTTCATAGTCTCAGCCCAAACTCTCCTCATAGTCGACCGGCGGCGGCGCCGCATCTGTCTGCGTGCTCTGTGTCCGACTGGCAGTGGTATAGCGAGCTTCGACGCGCTCCTCCAGTGCCTTGGCCGCAGCTTTGCGCTTCTTCTCTGCTTCTTCTTTCTCTCGCATCTTGATGGACGAATAGTTCAGTGCGGATATGATCATCACTGCGAAGCTTGTCAGTAGTGGGGACGGGAAGATATCTGGGCGAAATCGGATGAAAGAAAATGAAGGGCGGAATCGGACGAAAGTAAAAGGAGGGCGGATTATACATACATGCACAGACCCCTATAGCCATGGCAGCACGGCGAGTCAAAACCCATCGCAATCCTTCCACCTCGCTCTTGGCCTCGCTGTTCAGGAGCACGGTGATTTCATAGTTGAGTTCCGAGATCTTGCCGTCAATCACCCGCTTGTCCTCTTGTAGCCTCAGTTTGCGGTCGTTGAAAAGCCCCTTGAGTTCTTCGCGTAGTGTCATGAGATCCTGGGTGACCTTCTGGTTCAAAATGTCGAATTCATGCTGCAGCTGTGCGCGCTGGCCACGCTGCGTCAAGGTCTCTGTATGCCTAGTCGTTTGCAGCGTCGTCTTGAGCTCCGAGCACGCCGCGCGGAACAGGTACGACTCATTTTCAATGTCGGACTTGGACACCAGGCTTTCCTTGGCCATGTCAAGATTCATGGACAACATCTGCCGAATGGCTTTCATCAACGTGATGGCCTGGTCGAGTGTGTATGCGTCCCTAGCAGCTAGCTCCTGAACTAGGCCGTATGTGTCGAAATGATGTTCATAGGGAGGCGGCTCTAGATGTGGATGTCTCGATGATTCTTTCTTCAGATCCGAGGGTGACGGGATCGAGAGCACAATATCGAGTTCTTTGTTCTCCAATGGGCCCTGCTCCTCGGCCTTGATTTTGTGGTTCTTCGGGTTCAACGACACCTCGTCAATATAGTCCGACGTGGTGTTGGATTCTTGAGGCTCATCTTGACCTACGGCCTCCTCCTTCGGGCCTTCTTTGTCTGGCTGCGACTGCGACGAGTCTCGACTTTTGCCGGCTTCCTGCCCTTCCGCCTTCGCGGTTGATGGCTCGGACGGCTTTTCAGGAGGAGGCAAGTGCTCCGAAGCGGCCTGGCCGTATCTCTGCGGGATGGCTTGTTGTCGTCTGGGAGCTGCGGTGTGAAGTTTGGCTTTCCGACCGGAGACAAGTGTGGGAGAAGCCCGAATTGAGTGATAGGTTGTGGGTTCGCACGCGCGCACCGCTCGAAAGAAATTCGGGCATAGAAATGGCAGGCGTGGTGTCGCCATCCCTTCGCGGAGCGTTTGAAACACTCGAACTCGGTAGCAGTGTGTAGATTGGTGCACTCATGCTGTTGGCATGTTCTCGTCGCAAAATACAATACATCTTGTTGTCAGCCCGGCTGTTGTTCGGCGGGTGCGCTGTCGGAAAAGGGTATCGCCGGCTCCGTCACACCTCGTCCCCTCTCTGCACAGAGTTCATTTTCATTTTCAGCATACCGAGTACGAAGTACTCCTCCCTCCATGTAAGGGTACAGTGCTGCGTTGCGCCCGTTGGAGACGACTCTTTGTCATTGTACTGAGTCTACAGCCCTTCATGACTGGACGCAGCCAAAGTCAAACGCGTACAAGGCAGGCGTGGGATTGTTCCCGTCCCAACCACCGGCACAAAACAGCTCAGGACAATGATGGGTCTGGACCGTGAAATGTGCCGGTTCATACTGCCACGGCCCCTACATCCATCTGACCGAATCCCAGCCTTATGGAAGCAGCCTCGAGCTACTTCGAGATCCCGGGAGATCGGTCATGCGAAAGTAGACGACAAGTGCCGCGCTTGCGTTAACTAAATAACGGCTATAGGATGTCAGGGACCTGGAAGAGTGTGGAGACCATGCTGACAGCCCGAAGTACTACGCGATGGTATGGGTCTGGAAGACCATGAAGAAGTTATTGGCTGCTGAAGGGTGCCGAAGCCTTCATCTGGGCAGAGTGTGGCAGATTGGGGGATGCGTGTCTTATCACCCTTGAGGACCTCCGAGACGCCGACTCGAATGCTGGCATTGGATATCTACGAGATCGAAATCCCCCTACCCGCGCGCCGCGTCCAGATATGTGACAGGCATACCAACTACCTAATGACCTTCAAGGCGCAGACAACTCCTCACAGTGGAAAAGGGAAAGCATGAAGGACATCGGTGTTGCTACATGTTGCTGGGCTGTCCGATGAAGAATTTACAACCTTCCCAATAACATCGCGCCAGGATGGAAAGAGGAGTGTGAGCGAGCTCCGGGCGATAAATGACCGGGATTGTTGAGAGGTAACTGCCACTTCTGGCGGAGTGCAACCACCGGCCCGTCTTTCGTAGAGAGGAGCGAGAACATGAAGAGGACGGCTAGAAGGAGAACAATTATATAATGTATAGAAGCAAGGGCCGAAACAGTCCAAAGACATCTTCACAGAGGAGGATCGCGTGGAGGGTGATTCTGTTTGCAAAGGGCGTCGATCCGATTACGTGGCGGGCGGGTATCTTGGAAGAAAGAATTGATGAGTTGACATCCGTACTTGTGACATGGCTCTACGTATTATCACAAAATAGATATGTACGGAGTACAACAATAGACATCGCTGTTTGTGGCAAACTCCTCATTCACTTGCTCCGCGAGCTACTTGCTGGGTGAGCATCTGCTGCCGCTGGTATAGCAGGGCCTCTGAGCAAGCGATCCCGTTGAAGATGCTCCCTTTTTCAGCATTTCTCGGCATCTTCGTCTTCGTCTTTCTCCTCCATGCTTCGGCTTTGACGAAACTCAGCTCGGAAACTACGACTTTCTAGGGTAAATGGGATTAGAATTTCATCTCTGGAATTTCCATCCTCCCGCTCCTGCAAGCCTAATGCATATTCCGGGCCGGACGAGGCTCCGGCTAATCGTTTAGGCAGAGCTCCCCCGGACCTGAAATGCCGGTCAGTTGGGATCTTCAGAGACCATACAATAATGCCCCGTTGACGACTCCCCACACGAGTAGTTGTGCCCAAGCTCGCGCTTTCCAGCCAGAATAGTCAATTTGTTTACTTCGGGTATTGTTTTTGCGAGACGCTGAGATGGACAGTCTCCGCCGGCAGATGCACTCGCTGTAGGATACCTGTTCCGCATCCGCAACGAGACTGCTGTCGTGTATACTCCGTAAGTTTCCATGTATCAGCTTACAAACTTTGAGTATTACCCAAATGCCACAACACCAATGAAGCCCATTGCCACAAACCGCTCGAGGATTGCTCCAATGTTCATAAAGAGGGTTCACCGGGGATACATGTTTCGGACCGGGGCCATGTCAGAGAGAGGAGGCAACAGCCTCCATAGCTCCTCGGCGATCGTGCATTAGACCTGAATTCAAGTGCCGTGGGACTGGTCGTGCAGAGTTCCTGAGACCAGGCATTGGACGGAGTTGGACGGGGTTGGAAGGGATGAGTGGTGGGGCAGGGGAGGACGAAGAACAGCAGAGGCCACGATGGTAGATGAACCAGACTGCTCCGCAAAGAAGAGGGGGGGTGGTGTCAGTGGTCCTGTTTGCGGCGGAAAGGCATGGTGGTGGTGTCGGATGGATTGAATTGAGAAAATTATAAAACGTGGCGATCATCCAAAGAAGACCAGGCTTTCTGGATCTTGTTCTTCAGCAACGAAAGGTGTCAATTGTCTATACAAAGAATCCAATCCAGCGGTGCTGAGATTCAATTAAGGTACGTCACCTCTCCCTACCCGCAGTACTATGTACACACAGTACTACTCTGCGGGGCAGCTGCGCCCATTCCTGATCTTGATCTTATCGCCGCCCTTTTCCCATATTCGCTACCTGCCAGGTAGACTGCACTGGCATACAGTACCACTGCCTACCGTGCTACCTATCAAGCCATGACTTCACCACTCCTAGGATCCGAGCCTGTCCCTCAATCCCGCTGGCCCCTCCTCCTCCCTCCTCCCTCCTCCCGGTCCCCCTCACGTGCCCTCTCCTCATTTTCCTACCTGAGCGCAGTCCTAGCACGTCCCTCAATCCCGGCTCATTTCTCAATCGAGTCTCAGATCCCTGAGCGGACGGCCGGACCCTAGCTAGTCTCTGACGTCCTATGATGCTGACCATTATGCTCGAGTCTTGCAGCAAGTACCTTTCAGGCTCAAAGCTCTGCCGGCAAACACCGATTGTCGAAACCATTGAAAAGCACCCTGCAACCCTCCTGAGTTCTTATTCTATCTCAGACCTATTCTACCTCACGTTCATCGATCCTTTTCACAATGGTATTTACCCGTACTGCTGGTGCTGCGGCGCGTTGCTTGCCTCGCCTTTCCTCCTCCCTCCTCAGTGCTTCCCCGCACTTTGCTCGCTCCGCAGCAACTCCCTCCATTCGTTCGTCCATTGCCAAACGCACACTGACCGCGACTGCTTCTCGCCAGGGCAAAGTTCTTCTCGTACTCTACGATGTATGTCCTACCCCCTCCCTCTGATTGTCCTCTCCGACCGCTTCTAACAATGTCGTCTAGGGGCATGAGCATGCCAGAGATCAACCCCGCCTTCTCGGTACCACCGAGAACGAGCTAGGTATTCGAAAATGGCTTGAAGATCAGGGACACACCTTGGTTACCACCTCTGACAAGGAGGGCGAAAACTCCAAGTTTGACCAGGAACTGGTAGATGCCGAAGTCATCATCACCACTCCGTAAGATCATACCTCAGGGCGCCGTTAAGCCAGACCACACTCTGATGTCAACGCTCTAGCTTCCACCCTGGTTACCTCACCGCCGAACGTCTGGCAAAGGCAAAGAAGTTGAAGATTGCCGTCACCGCTGGTATTGGCTCAGACCATGTCGACTTGAACGCCGCCAACAACACCAACGGTGGTATCACCGTTGCCGAAGTGACTGGCAGCAACGTTGTGTCCGTTGCCGAACATGTGGTCATGACTATCCTGACTTTGGTCCGCAACTTCGTTCCTGCTCATGAACAAATTGAACGAGGAGACTGGAATGTTGCCGCAGTGGCCAAGAACGAGTATGACCTCGAAGGCAAGGTCGTCGGCACTGTTGCTGTTGGTCGTATCGGTGAACGTGTGTTGCGCCGCCTCAAACCGTTTGACTGCAAGGAGTTGTTGTATTTCGACTACCAGCCCCTCAAGCCAGAGGTGGAGAAGGAGATTGGCTGCAGACGTGTCGAAGACCTTGAGGAGATGTTGGCTCAGTGTGACGTTGTCACCATCAACTGCCCTCTCCACGAAAAGACTCGCGGGCTATTCAACAAGGAATTGATCTCTAAGATGAAGAAGGGTACGTTCAGAGGCTGACCTTTTACACTGCAACAATAGACTGACAGGTTCGATTGCAGGATCTTGGCTCGTCAACACCGCTCGTGGTGCCATCGTCGTCAAGGAGGACGTCGCCGAGGCTCTCAAGTCAGGCCATCTTAACGGTTACGGCGGTGATGTGTGGTTCCCTCAGCCTGCGCCAAAGGATCACCCACTCCGAACTGCCAAGAACCCATGGGGAGGTGGAAATGCCATGGTTCCCCACATGTCTGGAACATCTATCGATGCTCAAGAGCGCTACGCCGCTGGTGTGAAGTCCATCCTCGAGAGCTACTTCTCTGGTCGTCACGACTACAGGCCTCAGGATCTCATCGTCTACCAGGGCGATTATGCCACCAAGGCATATGGTCAAAGAACCAAGAAATAAACACATACTGAAGTTTGAATAAAAGCAGGATCTACCGATGAGGTGGAGCATGGGCCAGGCCTTCAGGATAGTGGCAATCTACAAAGTGTCATTTCTTCCAACTCGACCAGACCAGCACCCATAGTATGAAGGTCAGTGTGACGGCCAGGAAGTCCCTGGGGGCATCTCCCACCACAACGCGACATACCCTGGGAAGGCCAGTTTGCTAGCTTCTTAACATGAGATATGAAGGCCTCGTGCCACAACAAGATTCAAATTCACATGGCAGGATAATTTGAAGCTCGGGGAACTTGCCAGATGCCCTTCGCCAGAGTAGCACGTCTCGTAGAACTAGAGCTGAAACGCCAATAAGGATTCCGATCTTAGCCCGAGCAGATTGTGGGGGTTTATCGGCCTTGTGGAGTTGATTCAAGACATGAATGCGTGACCATGATATCTTCCGACTGCGGGTGAAGGATTATGCGCAGGGTTATTCTGTCCCGAATAAGTTAGGCAAGAGTTTTGTCAACACTAATGCCCTTCATTAACTATTGTCCAACACGGGGTCTATGGGACGTAGATGGGCAGCAGGGATGTGATATTGGCATGAGTTGGCAGAAATCGGCTGTCAGACAATTTAATGCTGAAATTGGTGTGATGGTGATCTTCTGGCAGTGGTGGCCGCTTAAATCTGCATATAATGATAATAATCTATGTAACTATATGAAAACATGGGTAATAATTAAATTCCCATCACCTTGGGTATTAATAAATCCACCATATTAATCACTCACCTGCACAACTATCAACCGGGTAGCCTCCACATCATCGCTCAGGAGGTTCTGCCATTTTGTTATCGTACACGTTAGCCTCAGTTACGGATGTGTTCAGGTACTGCCTAAATCAGACAGGGTGGCATTTCGAGCGGACAGCATTTCTGACCCGCACTCGACATCGCCCCTCAGTGAGATCTCTCGGGCGCGTGGAAGATGTCTTGAAGAATAGTGATGGCAATAATGGCAAAGATCATAGAAATTTCGTGGGACTTGGGGAATTCTCCCATACACTAAACGATAGCACTCATCTGATCTCTCTAGATACGATAAAGTACAAGGCTGCCCCCCACCCGTCCTTGTTGTGCCGAGACGCAACCTACTTGATCAAGGGACTGGGATGATACACACGTATGGCGACCCTTATGCTTCAAACGCTTTACTTTCGGTTGTAATTCCACTTCCGTCCTCCCTCCATGTAGTCGTGGTCGAGGCTTGCGCAAGTTCAGAAGCACAGACTGGGACATTTCCTTGTCAAGCTTGAGACCTTGGAGAACAACATCAAAAGAGCAAGTTGTGGTATGATGGAACAAGTGTGATGTAGCAAGAAGGAAAGAAGATTCTATCAACACATGGAACAACAACCTTCCATGAGCAGCAGAGGAAATGCGAGAGATGTTCCCATCAGTATACCTACTACGTGTCTAGACTTATATCTCGTCCAAGTCCTTCGCTGCTGTGAAATCTTGCTATTGTGACACTCAAAACCTATCCTCCGGCCAGGCTGGCGTAGCCTCGCGGTTGTGTGTCTTCCGTCCAATAAGGTATTTCTATCCCGTGTATTGTATCCCGACTCGTCTTCTCGGATCTTGTGGTGTCATGCCATTGTCTCCGGAGGATCTCTAGATGGCACTGGGCTGCTGCTATATGACAGGCGCTCCGGTGGTCATGAGCTCCGATCATGTTGAGGGCCAATGACTGCGTCGCATGCTGGCCAGAGTCCTAGCAGCTTCCGGGACAATGCCAGAGGCTTTGTAGGTGCCCCAGGAACTGGGCGCCGCTCTGGGTGGCCTGAGCAAGCTATGATGTCCTTAGGAAGAGGGCCTATGAATGTAGATATCGACTAGACAGCAGGCAAATGGACATGGATTGGAAAGAGCCTTGCCGTGAAGTGAAGGGGATGGGATTGAATGACCAGAGACTGCGATCGCCGTTTGTGTTTTGACTTCGGAAGACCTTCCTTAGACACCGACGCTGAGTGTCAGCCACACACTTGATTGGTGGCCTCGTCGCCGACGACAACAATGCAATTCAGACTACATCTCTGTTATGCAGAGACTACATCGAGCTGCACCGTGGTTCCTTGTGGCCCATGACTGATACTGGCCCCTGTCAGCGCTCTGTGACCGCTGTTCTCACTGTCGCTGCTGCCAACATGTCCTCTCTACACTTGTCGACACCTTAGCTTTCAAATCACGTGCCCCGTGATCTGATCTTACTCTACAACTGCTCCTGTCTATTCAGGATCAGTCTACGCTGGCCAATTGTAGAGTTCTGTCATCTACTTGCCACTTATCTGAGAGTTATCCTGTGCTGCCCAATAGTATTAAGCTGCTGGATCGACTTTGCACTCGATGAAAGTGCAACAACGATGGCAGACTTTGCAGTGAGTATGGGTGTGCTCACCGTTCTGTCTCCGCCAGATTGCGGGGTTTGATTACGCTGCGTCATTAACGTGCAGATTGAAGTTCTTGAACGCGAGATGGTGGAGTGCGGTCTGTTGCGGATCCGGTGTTGGAGCCTCGAATCAGCGTGTTCTCAATTTGCATCAGAGAGGAGAAGCTCATTTCTGCGACTGAATGGTAAGCGATGAAGAATGTGAGGCCCCGCTCGATCCGGCCGATACATGGTCGCCTTGCTGGCAACACTGAATTTGGTTCGCATTTGCCTGCTGCCTAGGACCTGCGACTGCGCGCGGATCCACAATCTCTTCCAAGGTGAGTAGGCTTGTAGCAACAAAGTCGAGCACACAGACGCAATCGCTCTACATTCGAGGTGTGCCAGAGAAGATGGTACCGCATTGAGGCAGTGTCCAAACCCTGTGATTAGAACTTGTGAGTATTGCAGCTTTCTCACAATGGGCGGGGGTGGATGACGAGATATGCGAGTGCAGGTCCAAAGTCGCGTTATTTTGAGAAATTTTTCAGATGGAATGGTACTCCATCGAGGCGGTGCTGAGAGTTTGCAATGTCGAAAGCTGGTTTGCTTTGGTTTGGGGGGGCGAGGCTGGGATTTTAGACTTTGATCGACGCGAGCAACCGGAATCTCCCACACAATTTCTCCGATCTCTGCAGCACCCGACTTTTCTCGACGAGCGACGGCACGAATTCAAACCTCGATTGACACCATTTGAGCCAAAGGCTGCAGATGAGGCCTTCCAAGGCTGCATTCCAGACTGCAATGAAAAGATTCTCACAAGTGAGTGATGAGTGAGCGTGGTTGAGGATCGGAGGGCTGACGTCCTTGGTGCGAGCCAGCCACGTCGATCCACGGTCCACTCTTGGGGCATCGCGATTGCCTCCACAGGACTCCCATTCGCTTCTACCACGTGAAGCCTGCCGAAGAGGATGGAGCTCTCGCCAGGCATGAAGGCTGAGCTGAGCGCCCTCGTCTTTGCCACAAGGCTGCGTGTGGCATGGCTGCGGAGCGCTCTGAGGAGCCCAACGCTGGCCCAACTGTGTGCGCCTTTGCTACAAGCCGGCTTGTGGATGAACGGTCATGCTCACCATGGCTGCCACCTTCATGTTCTTCCCTCTGCCTTTTGAGTTTTGCTTTGCCTTCACAATTCTCCTCCTCCCCCCCCATTGCCTCCGCCACGCCTTCCGATATGAGCTCGCTGGCGTGCTCTCTCAAGGGTTTCTCTTTCCCCATCGTCGCGCTCGCAGGTCTTTCGTCACTTGCTTCTCCTCATTGCCAAGCGCTCGTCCTTCGCCTGCTATAAGGATGCCCTCCTCCTTCTCCCTCCTCCTTCTCCCTCCTTCTTCTCCCTCCTCCGTCCCCCTCCTCCATTCTTTCTTCTCTTCAGGCCAGTGTATACACTTGCTGTAAGTATTCACTCTTTTCCTGTCTTGTCTGTTTTGCCCAGTCTCAATTCCCACCCCATCCCACCCCATCCCATCTCTTCCCCACCTTCCCTACCTTCCTATCTCTTCTCTACCTTCCCGTCTCTTCCATCTCTTCCCATCTCTTCCCATCTCTTCCCATCTCTTCCCATCTCTTCCCATCTCTTCCCATCTCTTCCC